CGGCTTTTTTCTTTTTGCTTATGTGGTGCTGAGGAATCGAACCCAGGGCCTCAGGCATGCAAGGCAAGCGCTCTACCACTGAGCCACCTTTCCAGTCCCTCAATACTCTTAAGATTATATATAGAATAAATTCTTATGTTGTGTGAATAGTTTAATTCAGACTTTTTAATTTGTTTAAATGGAAGCTATAATTATTTTGTTCACATATACTTGAAACAAAATAGATGTGCGTGTGTGCATGTGTACGTGTCTGCGTCTATGTCTGTGTGTATACTTATAGAGAATGGTATATTAGGGGGCTCACAATTTAGATTTCCATCACAGAATCTACAGGTAAAATTCTAGTCCTTTTTCATGTTGCCTTATTTTAAGCCATACGTACTAATTAGTTGCTTTCCAACGACCCTTTTGCTTTTCCTTTTCTATTCTTAACATTCCTATATATATAACGAACACTGAACAGGAAATTTATACTAATTTGGTCAAAATAACTCTGCTGATCAGAGATTAATTTCTCAATTAGTCCAATTAGACCAACTTAATTAGACCAATTTCTTATTTTCTTTTCCCAGTATATGTCATTCTTTTTGTTTAGTAATGGCAAGAGCTTAAATATAACAGCAGGTTCTTTTTGAGAAGGGATGTATTTACATTAAAAATCTGTAGGTTTGGTCAATACCGTTAAGATATACTGGAGTCACAGAACAATATTCATTAATAACAATTCATAAAAACTGAGTAAGTAAATTAATTTCTTTAACAGTTACATGAAGATAAATACACAGACATATAGCAGAAAAACTAACACTAATACTACTATAGGACTTGCATAAAATCCAACTTTTTTGATTAAAAAAAAGACTAGCAGCCATAAATCCCTATCTCAAAAGTCTGAATGACAAAAATATTAATAGCATAAGTAAGTATAATCTTGCACAGGTTCTACAGATGACAATACATAGATATCATTGTGTTATACTTTAAAGAAAGACTCATTTACAATTTCACATTAACTCATATAAGTAAAAAACATTGTTAAATTTTCAAGCAGCAGAGGTACTGAAGTAAAGAGAAATTAAAGAAAACTACATAAAAACATATACTCACAAAGGCAAATTATGAAAAAGAATGATTAATGTTTTGCAGTTTCTTCTCTGTACATTTATACTTGTGCCTAAACCATTTTGAATGAGAGGAACCCATAGCTGAGTTACTTTACCCACTCATTGCTCTATTCTTGAGGGTAATGTTTAGAATCAGTGTCAAATGAGTAATGTGAGTTTTCACATTCATGGAATAATCCATATTTTCATATTCTACACTGAGGTGGTTTATGTAATTATTACCTCCTTCCAGTTCTCTCCTAGCTGTTGGATACCTATTTATCATCCCCTAGAGAAGGTAACCCTCAGCAGTGTTATCTTTCCTGGGACATTCAGAGCCAGGTAACCTATGAGTAAAAGAGCCGCTGTTTTTGTCCATTTGCTAGAAGACTGCAGTCTTTTGCCCTCTGTCTGCTATCGACTCAGAAGATGTAGGCCTGCTGGTACTTGAGGGTAAAGCTTGAGACTTTTACTGTCAGACTTTTACTGTTACTGGTTGGAGAACTAGAATGGTATACAGCATAACTTCTACTACTTGTCAAGTTGAATGATAAAGTCATCTAGTTCATCCTGATTAACTTTAAGGTACTAACTGTAAAGCCAACTCTTTTTAAGCTGTTCAATATAGCCCTGGATAGCTGCATTCCTCTTTGTTCTTTTGAATGAGCACTGAACTCTTAACTATGAACTTTTTGTGTGTTTGGAAATGATTTGAACCATTAAGAACAAACATAAGTTATCCTTGTTAAAGCTGCACTTAAACACTGGGACAAGGTAGATATATCTTCCACTCATCTCAGACTCTATTATCACCAAGCAGAAATTCAAATCGATGGCTTACAGAATGTTCTACTTTAAAAAGTTCACTTCCAGGCTTGGATGAAAGTATGAAGAAAATAGTGCCTCATTTTTCTAAATCATCAATGAATTTGGTAGAGATAATCACTATACCTTTTCTCAATTCATAAAATGTCCCTGTGGTCAGCCCACTGTCTCAACACATTATTTACCCAGTCTTCTCTCAGGTATTTTTGAGTCTGTCTCACATTATTGTTTAAATCTCAGCGTTAACTCATCTAGTGTCATAACCTTCAAGTCTATTTCATTAAATAAAGTTTCTTTGAAAGAGGAGCTTCATTGGTTACCTTGAATCTGTGTGGCCTCATCGCTTATCTTCAGCTAGGTCCCATTTGAGAAGAAAAGGCTGGGGAGGCTGGCCTGATTAGGGCCTCAAAGAATAATAAAGTAGCCGCTCCCTGGGAAAATAAGGGCCATTCCCTGGAGCATGGCCTTAAAGTCCCACGGGCTCACTAAACCTTAATTCTCAGCTCTTTTTTTTTCTTTTATGAACTCTCAACTCTTTTTTTTTTGGGGGGGGGGGTCAGGCGTGGGACTTGAACTCTGGCCCTGGGTGCTGTCCCTCAGCTCTTCAGATCAAGACTAGCGCTCTACCTCTTGAGCCACAGAGCCACTTCGAGCTTTTTCTGCTATGCGGTGCTGAGGAATGGAACCCAGTGCCTCATGCATGCAAGGCAAGCACTCTACCACTGAGCTACCTTCCCAGCCCTCAACTCTAATCTAAGTTTCTATTATAACTCATCTAGTTTCTACAATTGTCAAATTAATCTTCCCAATTCCTAAAAGTTTCAAAATTAGGACACCTCCAAGCTGTCAATTTTATTTAAACTCAGTGAAAATTAGGTCTTCAAAAATCTTCCCTGGGCATAAAAGTCTATCTTTTCTCTTATCTCTAGTTAATTAACAAAAAAACCAGAAGTAGAGCTGTGGTCCAAGTGGTAGAGAACCATCAGTCTCCAAGTCCCAATATAGGCACACGCGCACGTGCGCACACGCACACACACAAAATTAAAAGCCTGCCACTGGGCACTGATAGCTTATGCCTGTAATCCTAGTTATTCAGGAGCTAGAGATCTGAAGATTGCAGTTTGAAGCCAAACCAGGCAGAAAAGTCTGTAAAATTTTTGTCTCCAATGAACCACCAAAAAGCCAGAAATGGAGTTGTGGCTAAGTGACCGAGCACTAGCTTTGAGCACAAAAGCACAAGGACAATGCCTTCAGTTCAAGCCCCCAAACCAGTGTATACACACACACACACAAGCCCCAGAACCAGTGTACACACACACACACACACACACACACACACACAATCTCCTTCCATACAAAAAATACACAAGTTATACTTACATGCATAATCTGCAATTGCCGGTTTTGCACGAGAAACCTGACTTAGCAAAGAGGATTTTCCAGCATTTGGGAATCTGAAATAAGTAAATGTGGCTATACATTACAGTAAATACCATATTACTAAATGTTGCTTATTTCTGAATCACAGCAATTCAAGAAATAGGCTTCTTAAATGAATCTGGGATTAAAAGTTGAACTATGGGATGTAGTCAGTGGTAGAATGTATACTTAATATGCCTGGTATCAATTTTGGTATTAGATTTATTGTCACTATGATAAAAATGTCTGATACAAACAACTTGAGGGAAGAACGATTTGAACAGATCTATTTAGGCTCACATTTTCAGAGGTATCAGTCCACTATGATTAGGTGAGCAGAAGAGAGCAGACAGATGTGAGCTGGACAGACAGTGAGGGACAAAAGAGAGAATGTCTGCACTACTGGGTTTTCTCCTGTCTCCTTTTTATTCCAGCTAGGCCATCAATGTATGGATGTTGCTCCCCACATTTGCAGCAGAGCTGCCACACTTAATTCTCTTTGGAAATGCCCTACCAGACGTATCTAGTGGTGTGATTTACTGATCTCCTAGATGCCTTCCAATCTAATAAAGCTGACAAACAAAGTTAATCATTACCATAGCTAGTGCTACCTGAAGTCAAGACAAATATAAGCAAATATAAAGATGTGGCATTATAACATAGCTACATAATAAACTGGGCATATATTAAGCTACTGTAATAATTTTGTAGCCATTTTCTGATACTATTTGCAGTCCATTGAAGTGCTAAAAAATACCTGCTTAGATGGAATGCCAACCATCTCCATGAATAGCTTATCTCTCAAGAAGAATCCATTTTAAAGTAAAAGTTCTTGTACATTTTTCACCATATATACAACATGTGTTGACTTCATATTATTTGTAAGGTTTCTAGTGAATAAGAGGAATGCTATTAATTCAATCTGGGTGGATTCAAAAGTTATATGCAAATTTTTGACTGCAGGGTGAGTAGTGACAGATGGTTCCCAAGTCCTTCTCTGTCCAAGAGTCACTCATGACAAAGTTTATAATTCCAAATGAATTCTAGCCTCAAATTACTATTGACATGCATGCTTCTTCATGAACTATCTCCCTGAAAGTATACTAAAAACATAATAGTGCTTACCCTACTAGGCCAACATCAGCTATCAGTTTTAAGTCAAGGTAAATTGTTCTTTTCTGGCCTTTCAAAGGTAGGAAATTTGTAAGTAATTTACCACCAAGGCCACCTTCAGCTACCAAAATTCTGTCTTCCTCTTTGTTGAGTTCTCCTTTAAAAGAAGGAGAGAAAATATAGCAAAGATCAATGAAATCAATAATGTTATTTTTCTTTTCAGAAATTATTTGGAAAAGCATTCAAACTTATAAACTTGAAAGACTAAACCACAAAATGAAATTTAAGTCTCACCCTGTGGTTGCGGGGGAGTGGTAACAGCAAAAATTGCTTTCGCAGCATATTGGGACCCTAGGCTAGGCTTTCAGCACTATTATTAATTAATTAAAAATATGACCCTAGAAAAACCACTTTGGCAATCAGTTGAAAAAAGACTAGTTATATGGTTTAAAATCAAATAGTAGGGCTGGGAAAGTGGCTCAGTGGTAGAGCGCTTGCCTTGCATGCCTGAGGCCCTGGGTTCGATTCCTCAGCACCACATAAGCAAAAAGAAAAAAGCCGGAAGTGGCACTGTGGCTCAAGTGGTAGAGCACTAGCCTTGAGCTGAAGAGCTGAGGGACAGTGCCCAGGCCCAGAGTTCAGGCCCCACAACCGGACCCAAAAAAAAAAAAAAAAACAAACAAATAGTATTGTATCTAAAACCTAGCAGTAAATTTTAAATAAATTTTATATGCATTTTAGTAAGTTTGTTTTATAAATTAGCAGCTAAAATTATTGGTGCTAAATTTTTTCCTAAAATTCAAGATAAGTTATGCCCAAAACCCTCAATCAATACACTCACCTATAATTTTACCATTTTCATCAGTTACTGAAATACCCACAGGAACAGGGATTTCACAGTCTTTTCCTTTGGAGCCTTTCAAGGCATTGACCCTATCAAAAAACAAAACGAAACAAAAACCCTAAATTAAGGTAAGAAAAACCCACTAAATGAAATAATTTAGACTTTAAGCAAATATAATAGTTTACAAAGAACAGTAATCAGCCATGCTATCTAATGCAGATGTTAAATAGTCAAATACTAAAGAAAAACTAAAATTATCCCTATCAACTTTATTTTAACTACTGTATATTATATAACTGGTAATGACTTAAGTTACCAAGCTAATATACTGAACATCTCAAATGAAAACTATATTGTTACAAAACAAAAAAGCTAGGGGGAAAAAAAACTAGAAAATCTAACTAATGAAGCTTGACAGTACTTATAATGTCTACTCTCAAACTGCTCATAAGGAAATACATTGATATAAACTTCTACCTTAGTAGTTGCAAGTCTAGAACTGTATTTTTTTAAAAATCAACTATATGAAAAATCTTTACGTAAGGGTATTACATTATAGCCATGACAGAAAATAAAACAAACACAAACCAAATGATATAATTTTAATCCCAGTACTGCAATATTATATAGCATCTTGAATAATCTCATGAAAAAAGCTGTTATATAAGATGATGTAAAATGGTATATTCTCATTTTTCTTTTCTTTGTGTCTGATTTTATATACATATATACAATATATTACAACTATATTTGTGTTATCATGCATAAACATCTTAGAAAGTGTGGAAAACTTAATTGTAATTATCTCTGGGTGACGAATTATAAATGATTCATTTTTTGTGTGACTATTTTTTTTAATGGTGGTGCTACGTAATTACATAACCAAATCTAAGAGAGGTTTCTTAGAGATTGCCAAGGATAATGTTATAATAGTAAAGATTCAAATTATTTTCTGCTTTTACAGAAGTACAAAGAAGAATACAGGTGCATACTGGGAGACAGGTTTTTTTTCCTAAGTGTTTGATTTTAGAAAATCCAAGTCATTCACTAAGCACTTACCGACTGTTTGCTCCTACTCCAGCCACAAACCGTTTCTGAGGGTATTTGTCTTTCAGTTGTCTTAATGTCATTCTTTTGTGCGCTACAACCCAGACATCACCACCTTTTCCACCTTCTCCACCTAAACGAGGATAACCCATTCCACCACTTCCTCCCTTGGTGAAGACTCTTAGCTTATCAATGAATTTTCCATACTTAAAAAGAGAAAAAAGAGAAAATATTTGTATACCAAATACATTAATTAACTTAGAAGTCCTAGTTTCGTTCCACCAAGATTTCACTTAGTGAAGAATCAATAATGGCTATCTACATGCCATGTATATAGATTTCTCTTAGCTCACTTAATGTTACCTCTTTTTTCCATTTATCTCTTTTATGGTATTGTTTTTCAATGTTTAATTATTGTTCTACTTATCAACCAGGTCTCTGATCTTAGTCCTTTTTTCATTTGGAACTTTCTATATTGGGTGGTTTCAGCCTGTACTAGTAACTATCATTTAATTGAGATATTTTCTATATCTGACCTGTTGGAACTTATTGAGAAGTGGTTAGTAGTTTAAAGCAACTGAAAGACCTGTACTTTATATTCTCAACCCCTCCAAACATATAACTTGGTGGCTATCAACTGAATGGAAAATAGTCACCTCATAAAGAAAATGTTAACACACAAATAAACCTTCCTAAATTTGTTCCTCCAATGTTCCCTCAAAAAATAGGATCAGCTAATTATTGAGACTGCAGACATCCATTTCTTTCCCAGAAGCCCTCTCTCCTTTCCTGTACTGTGCTGGAGAACCTTGACCAGCATATTAACTCCTAAATGATCGTCCAGTGACTATTCATTCCTTCCTTAATGCTTCCTCCATCTTGCTGTCAAATGCTATTTTTTTAAGAATTTGATGTTTCTCCTCTATTAATAAACCATCATGGTTTTACTATTTCAAATTTACAATACTATATTCAAAGTCCTTACTCTACCTTTCCAGTGTCATTTTCATTTGTTCAACCTTTTCCATTGTCCTGTCCCTATTTGCTCTTTCTACATGATGTACTGCCTCTCTAAGCCTTTCCCATTGTCCTGTCCCTATTTGCTCTTTCTACATGATTTACTGCCTCACTCTATATCATGCTGCTGCTTTTCCTCTATTTAGAAAGGCACTTGTTATTTTCTATCATAAACCTACCTGAATGCCATAACCTCAATGTTCTTTCAAGTAATGAAACCAAACATGGTTCCATAATTTGAGAGTGTATTGGAAGCCTTTTTCTTCCTTTGTACTGGTACTGGAACTTGAACTCAGGGCCTGTTGGCTGTCCCTTAGCTTTTTTTGCTCAGGGCTAGCACTCTATCACTGGAGCCACAATTCTACTTCTGGCATTTCTTGGTGAATTGGGTTAAGTCTCATGGACTTTCTTTCCTAGAGTGGCTTCAAATGCTGATTCTCATATCTCAGCCTCCTGAGAAGCTAGAATTACAGGCATGAGCCATAGGCAGCCAGCAGAACACTGGCAGCCTGCCAAACACCATAACTTTTCTGGCTTTCCTAGCAGTTTGATTATACATGTATTATTATGATATCTTACACTATGTTTAGTGCTTGTTTTCCTCATTGAACCTCCAAGGCTATCAAAATAATTTCTTAAACGATACCAGTTCAATCTAGGAAGTCTTGAAATTGAAACACTGACCATTCTAATTAACTGAGGAAGGCCCTTACATTTCTCTACAATGCTTGTTTTTTTTTGGTAGGTCATGGGGCTTGAACTCTGGGCCTGGGCACGTCCCTCAGCTCTTCAGCTCAAGTAGAGCCCTCTATCTCTTGAGCCACAGCACTACTTCCAGTTTTTTAGTTCATTGGAGATAAGAGTCTCACGGACTTTCCTGCTCGCGCTGGCTTTGAACCACGATCCTCGGATCTCAGCCTCCTGAGTAGCTAGGATTACAGGCATGAACCACCAGCGCCCGGCTTAAAAAAAAAAAAAAAAAAAAACTCTTGTGTTCATTAGACTCACAAGTTTTGGAGCCTCACATAAAAGGAGTGTCTCACAGTGGTCCAATTATGATGCCCACTGGTCTCCAAAAGAAATCACTCCCTGAGGTCTTTATAAATTGGGGGTGCGGGAGGAGGGGGAGTGAAGGAGGGCGAAACAATTAGTTGTCAGGGTTTTTTTTGTTTTTGGTAGGTTGTGGGGTTTGAACTCTGGGCTTGGGCGCTGTCCCTGTGCTCTTCAGCTCAAGGCGAGTGCTCTATGACTTGAGCCACAGTGCCACTTTCTGTGAGTTGTTTTTGTTATTTTTTGGGGGGTCCGGTCGTGGGGCCTGAACTCTGGGCCTGGACGCTGTCCCTCAGCTCTTCAGCTCAAGGCTAGCGCTCTACCACTTGAGCCACAGCACCACTTCCGGCTTTTTTCTTTTTGCTTATGTGGTGCTGAGGAATCGAACCCAGGGCCTCATGCATGCAAGGCAAGTGCTTTACCACTGAGCCACCTTCCCAGCCCTAGTTGTCAGTTTTTATGGAAATGATCTTAGGATACTGTATTAACACTAAATTTTTTAGCCATCAATACACACTCTTGATATCAGACATTCATCAGAAAAACCCTAAGACGTGCACTAGAAGCTGGGTGCCGGTGGCAAACGCCTGTAATCCTAGCTACTCAGGAGGATGAGATCTGAGGATCACGGTTCAAAGCCAGCCGGGGCAGAAATGTCTCCATAAACCCTAATGCGCCCAGGCCCTGAGTTCAAGCACCACAACCGACCAAAAAGCAAACACAAAGTGCACGGGCGCGAAAGACTTGTAAGAAATGCCCACAACATATAAGCGGAACAGAGCGAGAGCCCCAATGCTCCACGTACGCTGCACTTCGTGTCTACACGGCAGGTAGGTGCCCCAGGCCGTCGTTTCAGAGCACACGGCGACCCCGAAGAACCTCGCCCACCATCCCCCAAACAAAGCCCCACACGCGAGGGGCGGAGACCCCCGTCCGCCCCCGAGGGCGGGCACCGCGCCTGGGGCGGCGGGCGGACGGTAAAACCCAGCGGGAAAAACGGTCCCGACCGAGGAAAGAGCCGGGGAGGGCGCGAGGGGCGCACAGGATGCCCAGCCGGGACGGGAGCACCGGGACGGACCTTTCTGAACAACACGCCGCTGCAGTGCACCATGACGGCTCCCGACAGCCTCTTCCGTACGGCGCTCTGTTTCTACGTCACCGCCGGACGCCGACCCGACTCCCCGCCCCTCTCCCGGACGGAGGCTGGCGCATGCGTGGTGCGTAGCGCGCGGGCTGTGAGAGGCGCGCAAGCTTCTGGACTCGCATCTGGGTTCCGGCTTCTCTGCCTTTGGAGGCAGGAGAAGGAGGCTTGTGTTTGGCAGCCGAGCCGGGGAGTTAAGAGCTGGACACACCTGGCAGCAGTGCACCCACTGACCGTGGGAAGCAGAGCAGGCGCCTCGGGAATGAAAATTTTGAATCAAAGAGTGAAAAAAGGAAGTCTCCAAACATCGAACTTAAATTACCTTTACTCCAAAACAAAATCGGAGGGAGGAAGAATGCCCCGAATCTTCTGGAAGTATCCCTAAGCCTTAGCCGCCCTGACCAGCGGCTCAGGAGGACTTAGCAATGATGGAGGACTTCCCTTCCTTCCTTCCTTCCTTCCTTCCTTCCTTCCTTCCTTCCTTCCTTCCTTCCTTCCTTTCTCTCTTTCTTCCTTCCTTCCTTTCTCTCTCTCTCTTTCTTTTTTTTTTTGGGGGGGGTCCAGTTGTGGGGCCTGAACTCTGGGCCTGGGCGCTGTCCCTCAGCTCTTCACCTCAAGGCTAGCACTCTACCACTTGAGCCACAGCGCCACTTCCGGCTTTTTTCTTTTTGCTTATGTGGTGCTGAGGAATCGAATCCAGGGCCTCAGGGCCTCAGGCATGCAAGGCAAGCGCTCTACCACTGAGCCACCTTCCTAGCCCTCTTTCTTTCTTTCTTTCTTTCCTTCCTTCTTCGTCACGGGGCCTGGGCGCTGTCCCTCAGCTCTTCAGCTCAAGGCTAGCACTCCACCCCTTGAGCCACAGCGCCACTTCCGGGTTTCTAGTAGTTATTGGAGATAAGAGTTTCATGGACTTTCCTGCCCAGGCTGGCTTTGAACCGCGATCCTCAGATCTCAGCCTCCTGAGTAACTAGGATTATAGGCGTGAGCCACTGGAGTCCGGCTATGGACATCTTTCTATCTAAAGACAGTAACCAAGTGATAAACTATAGGAAGTCTGATAGACTTGTGTGTCGGTGACCTTCACATTATTTTTACATTGAACAAGCTCTGCACAAAAAAAGTTTAAAAAATAAAAAGATAAAAGTCCTTACTGTTTTCATCATTTAAAGTATTTGAATTAAAAAAAAAAGTTGGTCGTCAGGCCTGGACTGTGGGCCTTGGCGCTGTCCCTCAGCTCTTCAGCTCAAGGCTAGCGCTCTACCACTTGAGCCACAGCACCACTTCCGGCTTTTCCAGCTTTTGTGGTGTTGAGGAATCGAACCCAGGGTCCCATGCATGCAAGACAAGCACTCTACCACTGAGCCACCTTCCCAACCCTTATTTATATCTTTTAAATGGTGGAATATTTTCCCTACTATTAAATTTGAGTTCCAAGAGGGTTTTTTTTTCTTTTTCTTTATCTTTTTTGCCAGTCCTGGGCTTGAACTCGTGGCCTGGGCACTGTCACTGAGCTTTTGCTCAATAACACTCTACTAATTGAGCCACAGCACCACTTCTGGACTTTTCTGTTTATGTGGTACTAAGGAATTGAACCAGGGCTTCATGGGTGCTAGGCAAGCACTCTACCACTAAGCCACATTCCCAGCCCAAGTTCCAGGATTCTCTGCTCCCTTTTAGATAATGAGAGGTTCTAATGAGGTTCCTAAAAACAAATGAACAAAAATCAGCCGGGGAGCAGGGAGCAGTGGCTACTCAGGAGGCTGAGATCTGAGGATTGTGGTTGAAAGCCAGCTGGAGCAGCAAAGTCCCTGAAACTTTTATCTGCAATTAACCAGCAAAAAAGGCCAGAAATAGAGCCCTGAAAGCTCAAGTGGTGAGCATTAGTCTTAAACAAAAAAAAAAACTCTGGTACAGTGCCCAGGTCCTGAACCCAAGCCCAAGACCTGCACATACAAGTGAAAATAGAGCATTGGCTCTCTTTACTTCTTGGTTTCACTGGGCAGGCAGAAGACAGTAAGCTCTCTGCACAGGCTTTTAGGAAATTCCTGTCCATCTAAAAGAGCATGAAAATAGGGATCAAGTACGTATCCCATTCAGTGCTCCCATTGGGAATGAAAGGCCTGAAAGGTTAAAAAAAAAATCTGAGTTGGATCAGGAACCTTAATTTGGTTTGAAACATCTCCATTATCTTAATAGGCAATCTGGATGCACTCAATATATTGAGTGTTTTTTGTTTTGCTTTTGCTTTTTCAATGGAGGAAATATAAAATTGGAGATTGGGGCTGAATCTTACTGAAAGCAGAAAAACATGTTTTGTATATTCCTTTGCTTCTCAAGAGATAGGAAACTTGTTATTTTTCTTCTGTGTGTGTGTGTGTGTGTGTGTGTGTCTGTGTGTGTCTGTGTGTGTCTGTGTGTGTCTGTGTGTCTGTGTCTGTGTGTCTGTGTATGTGTCTGTGTGTCTGTGTATGTGTCTGTGTATGTGTCTGTGTGTCTGTGTCTGTGTATATGTCTGTGTGTCTGTGTCTGTGTCTGTGTCTGTTTGCACCAGGGCTTGAACTTAGGGCTTCATGACCTTGGTTGGTTTGCTTATTCACAGTTTCACACTGTTTCTGATCCAATCCTAGCTTTTTTCACTGGTTACTTGGAGAAACTCTCTCAGTATTTACTGACTGGACTGGCTTTGAACCACGATCTTCCTCAGTCTTCCAGGCACCAGCCACTGGTGCGCAGCTTCATTTGTCCTTTCTTAGTGAATTCATAATTTAGGATATAAAAAGGACTTAAGAAGGTGTTTAAATTATTCTTTTCTCTTTGAAACATTTTGTTATAATGACCAATGTTTTCTGGGGAACGTCTTTCAGATCTTTTTTCTTTTGAAGTGTGAAGGAAATAATTGGCTCATTTTGTATTTTGAGAGCTGCTCTTAGGTGCCATTGGTTTAAGTTTGGACTTACCTATAATATCTATGACAAAAATGATTATATCTCTCCATTAATGAAATCCGGGACAGGTCATCTTAGAAAAAAAAATGTCAATAATGTCAACCTTGCCATGTCAGATTTCTAACATAAAATTATCTCATAGATGATAGTTTTTTTCCTTTTTATAAAAAATAAATGATGTCTTATTAGTTGAAGAAAACTCCTCTTTAAAGAAGATGAGATATATAATGTATAAAAATTACTTGGAGATCACAGAGGAATTAAAGCCAATAACTACATCAACATCACATTATTTCCTTTTAAGATACTGAAGAGTTGCAACAAGAAAGCAAACAAGATTACTTACAAAACATTGTTGTAGGCTAGATATTAAAGACTATGGCAGAATTAGAGACAGGACATAAAACTGAGTAATCTTGACCTATTTTATTTTATATTGGTACACCGGAAGTATGACTGAGTCAAAGCTATGACCCATCCAGCCCAGCATTTCATTAATAAGAATTGTACAAATACAGATGGTACTGAAATATATTATGGTAAATGACACAAGCCAAGCCCAGAAAGACAACTATGATAACATGGATTCTCAATGATTGTGGAAGTTAAGAGATAAACTCCTGGAAGTAGAAACCACAGAGGCCATAAGAAGTTGGGAAGGGTAAAGGAAGAAAGGACACTGAGAGATTAGATGATAGGTACCAAAATACAATTAGAAGTGAGACATGGAGCCTGGCGCTGTTGGCTCATGCCTGTAATCCTAGCTACTCAGGAGACTGAGCACTGAGGATCATGGCCCTGGGGGGATATAGTGCATGAAACTTTTTTTTTTTTTTTGGGTCCGGTCATGGGGCCTGAACTCTGGGCTTGAGCACTGTCCCTCAGCTCTTCAGCTCAAGGCTAATGCTCTACCACTTGAACCACAGCGCCACTTCCGGCTTTTTTCTTTTTGCTTGTGTGGTGCTGAGGAATCGAACCCAGGGCCTCGAGCATGCAAGGCAAGCGCTCTACCACTGAGCCACCTTCCCAGCCCTAGTGCATGAAACTCTTATCTCCAATTAGCCACCAGAAAACTGGAAGTGGCGCTGTGGCTGAAGTGGTGCAGCATTTGCCTTGAGCTACAGAGCTGAGGGACAGTACCCAGGCCCAGAGTTCAAGCCCCATGACCAACCGAAAAAAAAAAAAAGAAAGAAGTGAGAAGTGGTTATAATGTTATATATCATAATTGGATAACTAGAGTCTACAACAGTTACACATTTCAGTATAACTAGAAGTGTTTGAAGTTTGTCTACACAGAAATAATACATGAGAAAATGAAAATGCTAAATACCCTTATTTAACATTGTACATTAAATATACATATTGAATTATGAACTATACACAATAAGTTCAAATATTATATGTTAATTAAAAATAATTCTAAATAATATTAAATTTAGAAGCTAAAGGCATAGGTCTTTTGTAGTGCATATATTTGTTAGCATGCATAAGTCCTGGGTTTAATTCCCAGCATCAAAATCTTTGTGCTTATGGTTAATACTCAACCACATAAGCTATTCCTTGTTTCAATTTTTTTTTTTGCTAGTTAAATGGATATAAGAGTATCTCAGACTCATTTACCTCGATTGGTTTCAAACTGAGAGCCTTATATCTGAGTTTCCAGAGTAGCTAGTCTTACAGGTGTGAGCCATGGACACACAATTCTAACACAAATTTAAATCTTTTAAATTTAAGAAGTTGGATGCATAACTCAGTAGTAGAGCACTTACCTAGCAAGTGTGAGGCACTGAGTTAAAACCCCAGTACTGCTAAAAATATTTTTAAACAAAACACTATCCTAAATTCATAAAAAAAAAACAGCTACACAAGTGGCAATAGGTAATCTTGTCAGTGGGATTAGACATACCTAGCAGGAAAGTAAAGCACACTTCTGGTTGTGTTTGCCAAGGTGTTTCCAAATTGATATTAATAGACAGTATTCATCTTGGCTATGCAGAACCATTATCCAGTGGTTGGAAATTACTAGGAAAAGAATAAAGACTACAGATA